GAGAGGATGCTCGGTGACAGTTTTCTTGTGGGCCCGCGTGTGGTCATGACTGACAGTTCCTTCATTAGACACCCCAGAGAACCCACGGTGGTAATAGTATGACTGCTGTTGATACCCACAAACAAAATGCAGATTGCCTGCTTGCCTCCCAAAAGCCCAAAAAGATGCAAATTACAGAGTTGCCATCAAAGTCCTGGGACCTTATATCAGCGGGGGCTGGAGAGCTGTTGCCCGCCGACCGCCGAGCAAGGGGCCTCAGTTTCAGTTTTACTAATTTGTGTCTTTGACGTTCTACGCACGGAGCCTTCCCTAACCCCTAGATCTGACGTTAAGGCTTGGGCGTCTGGTATAAAAACCACCGCCCGAAATCTGTTTCTTCTTCCGCTTTCTTGGGGTCCAATTGCGCGATCGCGGAAGAACAGCCTCAAGGGTGTGCTGCGTCTTTTTGTTGGCGTAATTTGCGTCAGGGGGGCATCGCTGTGTTTACAGACCCAGTGGCCTACAGTTGTCCCCGCTTGTCACTCGTGCAGCCACAAGTGGTGCACATGAGCTGACACCAATGCCGGTGGATCGCGGGACGCTCATCTGGCGTGGGGACACAGTAAGTTTCGGCTCCAACCGTAGTGCTTTGTCCATGCACGCAACTGTGTATGTTTGTGCCATGAGATGCGTGCCCAGCCCAGAAAGAAGCCCAAAGCACCGCACTCGGCTCTGTTGGTGAACCTATCCAGTGATCTTGTGGTTGGAACCCTGTCTTTTTTGGAAACATGTGAAAAACTCGGTGAGGTTTAACATAGTCTCCCCCGAATAATTATATTAAACCCCCCCCTACTCCCCTATAATCCCCATATGCCCTAATAGTCTGTAAATTGTAAATAAAATGTAAGGAACACGCGAGAAAAACTCTAGTGGCCACACACAACAATCAAGCCAAATCTCACCTTGTATGAGCGGTCTACCGCCACTTCCCACTTCCAGGACTGTGCGCTTTTCTCTAAAACCGAATACTCATCATTCCAGTGCGCTATGGGTGTGACCGGCGCACGCTAAATCGTCTGCCCTCCTTGGTCCGCTCCTCTGCTCTTGCAGTTTTTGGGGCTTAAGGGTCAGGCTCACGGGATTAGGGGTCAGGGGTCTGAGGCTCAGGGTTTATACAGTCCTGCGTGAAACAAGGGGTTCAGGGTTTAGGGCGCAACGGTGCATCGGCGTGAACGTCGTGTCGGCACAAACGTTTTTTGTGCGCCAATCCCACCTGCGCTCCAGTGCGCTGTTTCGGCTTGTTCTTCCAATGCTTGGGTGTTGAGTTGGGCGGGTGGTGTAGCAGAGGATGCAACTTGCTAAGGTTGGACAGTTGCTTTAGGGCAGTCTGGTGATCGCAGTTAGCCGGTGCTTTCACACAGAAACAATCTCAAAGCGCTATGTGGTCACACAGAGCCGCACATCAAGTCCAGATTGAGCCGCAACTGGGCTGCCTCCAGTCACTTCATCGCTGTGTGTGGCCACACAAGGCAACCAGCTCTAAATCTCTGCCGCCACTTCCTCGCGCTATGCAACCTGCCCTTGGCTGGGTGGTCTCCCGTACATCCTCGCGTCATGTGGCCGCATCAACGACGTCCAAGACTCGCCTTGTCCGGGCTTGCTCGCGTTATGTGGTCCTCACGCTACGCACAAGACAACCCGTTCCAAGTCTCACCTTTTGTGAGCTGCCTTTAGCCACTTCTCCATGGAAACACTGTGCCCACCCACAACAAGCAAGACTAAATCGAATTGTTTGGGCTGCTTCAAAAAGTCGTGCCACCTGCTAGCAAGTATGGTCGGTATGGACCTGAGGTTGGATACGGCCCACGGTGTCGTTCCTTCTGTTCCTTTGTTGGTAGTTGCGGTTGGCATGACTGTTGTGATCATTGCGCTTTTTGGTTGTTGCTTGTTGTCGCTCTTGTTGTGATGTGTGTTGTTGCTTGCTTGTTGTTTTGATTCCTTGAGACCCAGCAATGCGAGAAAGTGGCTGCATGCGCCGGGACAAGACGAGGTCTGAAATGACTTGCTTTAGTGTGTCCACAAAGTGCGTCACTGAGAGTAAAATTGTGAGGTTTGGATTGTTGTGTGGTCAGACAACGAGAGGGAGCAGGTGGAGGCAACCCAAGCAAGCGACATTTGGATTTGGTGGTTTTGTGCTGCCACGGAACGCACGACACAACGCACGGACGCGGCAGGAGGCAGCCCAGACAGCGTGTGTGAGGTGTGGGCTTGGTTTTTTGCGTGCCCTCAGATTCATTGGCCGGAGGCTGCTGCCCACGTAAGATTGGCTTTGGAACGGGCTGCTTTGCTTTGCGTGGCCACACTTGCAAGGCAACTTGGGCCACGTAAGACTTCATGAGACGTGGCTGGAAGCAAACCAGACATTAAGGCTTGCCTGTTTTGTGTGGCCGCTTGGAGCGAGGAGTGTATGTCCTACATCGCATGCGGAAGTGGCTGGAAGCAGCCCGGACAAGGTTGGATTTGGACTTGATTGTTTTCGCGTGTGACGTTGAATTTGTTCGGCCCACGCCGCAGCGCTACCGTACTGCTTGGGTGGGCCACCTCCGCTGATCCACCCGACCGGCTGACCAGTTAAAGCGTTGCGTTCGGGTGCAACGACGCATGGCATTGCGTCGTCCCTGGCCCTTGCTCTCGCCAGCCCCAAAACCAAATCACCTGGAGGCAGCCCAAAGAAGGTGAGATTTGGAGAGATTTGGATTGTCTTGCTGTCTGCACAGCGGTTTCCGAAACAACAGCCTAAACCCGAAACCCTAACCCTAACCCTAAAACCCTAATCCCCCGCCCCCAACTACAGACTCGTTGCAGAAGCCACGACACAGACATGGGTCTCAGGCGTCAGTGCACAGAGGCTCCAAACCCCCAAATCCCATGAGCTCCACAAGGACTCAGCATTGCAAGACCCCCAAACCCTAAACCCTAAACACATGAACCTGAGACCTGGAACCAGAGTCAACCCTCAATCCTGAACCTGAAGCTGGCACTTGCCGGGCTGCTCATGATGCACCAACGCAATCGTTTTTCGTTTTGTCACGGTGAAGCTGGTTGATTCGGTGACTTCAATCACCATGGCAGGGCGGCCATTTCCAAGAGCGAACGTATACGGTTCCACCTATCAGGCCGCGCTGGGGGCGGTGCGCTGAAGCTGAGTCCAGAGCCAAGAGCTTGTCAAACACGACTCTGGATGAAAGCAACTGATATGGCTTACTGCTTCTTAGAGAAGTAGGATCCGCATAGAATTCCTTAAAGGGAGGTTGGATTTGGATTTGGTTGTTTTTGCGTGTTGGATCTGCTCTGCCCACCCCACTACGCTAATTACCATACTGCTTGAGTGGGCCACCTCCGCCAATCCACGCGACCGGCTGACCAGTTAGAGCGTTGCGTTGTCCGCAGACGCACATGGCATTGCGTTCGTCACATGGAAGCTCAGAGCAGGACGCAAAGCAAGCGACTACTGTAATCGCTGACGATCCCAAAGCGTCAAGACCTGAACGAAGACTCGAGAACCCTTCTATACAACACAGGCCGTGCGGCGCGCTGGGGGCGGTGCGCTGGGGCTGAGTCCAGAGCCAAGAGCTTGTAAACACGACTCTGGATGAAAGAAGCTGAATAACAACAACCTACTGCTTCTTATAGAGAAGTAGGATCCGTATAGAATTCCTTCAAGGGTCATATTACAGGATGCAAGGCACTTCCCAAACTCTTACAGAAGTACGACAGGCCTTACAGGTTCGAGAGGCCGTGAACAGGCCGAGAGTTGAGAGAGTCGATAGTAGTGGCGGAAGTCGAAAGGGTTGAGGGTTTAGGGCCAGGTTTTAAGGTTTATAGGCAATGTATAGGGTTTAGGCGGTTTAGGGTTTAAGGTTTAGGGTTTGGGGTTCAGGATTTAGGCTTCAGGGAGGGTTGTGGCGGTGTTGCTGCTAGGAAGACCCTCGCGAGCTTTGGATTGAAGTAAGATTGACGTCGCTTGAATTGCACCCTAAGAGCGGCACGGCACCAATTGCAGAACTTGCACGACGTTGAAACTTGCAACCGCATCCGACTCGAAAGTGTGGAAACTGCATATCACCGCGTTTTTGTGTGAGCGATATGATGCTCGCCACCCCATGGTCGAACGATAAGGCCATGCACCCCAGCCGAGTTCTGTGCTGATACTTATATTGACTTATTGCACACATTGCTACTTGGAGGTTCAGTGTACTTCTAACCCAATGATAAGCGTAGGTATAACCCACTTCTATGCCCCTTCAGCACCCTAATGGGGTTATACTTAGGTTCGAAGTACAGCAATACTTGGGTTGCCAAGTACCATGAGCCTGCAAGTACTCTCGTGTATGCTTGGCAAGCCAAGCCCAGGCCTTGGCCATTCGCGCAAGGCGGCCTTCGCGAGGCAGTTGTGCAATGCGCTGTCAAGCGGTGAGACCACGAACTCGGCCTGAAAGAGATGAACCGATTGAGATGATCAAAAGAGCATACTGTCGACTTCACACCCTGCTACTTGTTGGCTGTTCAGTGTCGTTCAGTCGCTGTCATCTCCAGTCTCGTGGGTGCGCCAAGCAGTGCCCTGGAATGAGGCGTCTGTGGTGCTGAATGAACCGCCTGCTCCCCTGAGGGTGCGTGGAGGGTTTGGGGCGGTGCATAGGAACTTTGTGGCTGCAAAGCTCCGCAAATAGGATGCACGAAGGAAAGCCATCCACTCATGCGGCACAAATTTACAACAGTGGTGGTAGCAACTTCTGTCATTTGCGACTCCCTCCTTTTTTGGCTGCTGTGAAGTCTGAAGGCGAATCTGTGTAGATGTAGATGAGGGGTGGCGGCTTTAAGGAACTCCGCAACGGCCCACATTGGTAGTCACACATGACGGCTTTCATTCTACAAGGGCTCACACGCGACGCCCAGAATGCATACTGAAGTCCAATCCGACGGTCAGACAGTGGAAATCCTAATGTGGCAGCAGGCCGAAGATGCGGCAGCATCACCTTGATGCCCCTCCTCTGGAATCCGGAGGTGGGCAGCCCGCACGCTTCTGTGTGTCCGGTCTTGTGGATTGCATCCGGTCCTGCCGCAATTTAAGCATTTGATCAGTTGTGCAGGTTGCCTGATCTGCTCCGACGCGAAGAGGTTCGTCATGGGATCATGGTGCAGTCACATTGCCAATGACAGCGGACAGGAGGTGGTCGTAAAATACCAGATCATGTGGGAGTCAGCAAATGGCTTTCGCAATTACGAGAAGCGAGTGACCGTGACACTGGCACCGGGAAAGTATCATCGAACAGAGGAAATCGGAAAGCTGAACTGGCACACCGTCTCCATCACGGTCTCAGCCCGTGGAGAGACTGCTAGCTGCACGGTGATCCAAGACCAAAGTGTCATCATCAAGGCCCGCCCCCTCCGCCTTGTCGACTCCGTGAAGGGCCACATCTGGGCTGAGCGCTGACTTCGGCATAGCCTGTTTGTCTCACCCTCGCCATTATACAGGTTTTGTTGTTTCCAATGAAGCCTGACCGCACAGAGTGGCGCGCGGGTGGGGCAGTTTAGGATGTGCAGGTCCTCCCGGACACAGCTGCCCTTCAGCGACCATCAGGCTCTGACGAACCGCATGCACTGACAAGGAGTCGCTGCAGGGGCACGTAGACTCGTGCAGCAACAGTTTTGTTGTTTCCATGACGCCTGACCGCACAGAGCGGCGCGGGCGGGGCAGTTTGGGGCTGCCCTTCAGCGACCATCAGGAACTGACGAATCGCATGCGCTTCCCGTGACAAAGAGTCGAAGTAAAGCGCGCCTAGACTCGTGCAGCAAAGTTTCGGGGTGAACTGCAACTGGCTGCCACTACCAGCAGCGATCCAGCTGCAGGCATCTCATGATTCTGCTCTTGCATGTCTGCCGCACCTGTTTCAGAACTCAGCAGAGAAGCGGAAACTTATACAGTTTTTGCGCACCTGTAACAAGAATCGGCAGTCGTGGCTGCGCCATGGCTGTGCAAGCATTGTACTTTGACGGTTTGCAATGTTGACGGGGAACCGCAGGTTGCCGCGCTCCCGAAACCCAGGCGCCATCCTCCGCTTGCAGTACACCTCATCAGACAGAAGCGCTAGTCTGCATCTCACCAGGGTTTAGGGTTTAGGGTTTAGGGTTTAGGGTTTAGGGTTTAGGGTTTATCAGTCATGTAGTCATGTTCAGACATAGAGTAGCCAAAAAGAGATCAAAAGAGGATAACATCGACTCGATGCTGGCAACCTCACACCCTGCTATTGTTGGCTGTCCTCTAATTATGTCGTTCACCCGCTGTCAAAACCTCGTCGATGTCAGAGGTACTGCGCATGTACCTGACGAGTGTCGGCAGCCGAGCTGTCACCCATGCCATCTCAGCTTGTAGCCGAACGCGAGCAGTTCGCAAGGCCGGAGGAACTTGAGTGGCGCCTGAGTTGGGATGGCTTTAGCTCCTGGATGTTGTGGCCAAATCTCGAGTCTCGAGCGCCTGGATGGAGTGATGCGTGCGTTTGGCTCCCGAGTGCAGTGCATTGACACAAGTTCCTGTTCCCAAGAAGGGCTAACGGTATGCGTCAAGCAGAAGCAGTGTTGCTGAGAACAGGGTTGGCCAAAGGCTTCCTTTTCGAAGGTTTAGAAAATGACAAAACATAGCTATTATTTTACATGATTTCAGAGAAGGTTTGGGTTTGTCAACTGTTCATCTCTCTCCTCGTTCTTCTCGCTTCCACTCTATGTCCCTCCTCGGAAAGTTTGTGGAAAGCTTTATGGGGGCACCTGTAGGCAACCCTTGGAGAGGATTGAAGGGCAATACAAGTCTCTTGCACAGCCCCAAGTTTCCTTCAAGGATGTCCATAGGATGTCCCTTTGGGCCTTCACGTCCTCCTCACATTGTCTTACATCTCCTCCGGTGAGTGCCCGACCTCTGTATTTTCTGGCAAATTATACAATGGCGGAGCCAATGACCAGCGGATTGCATCGGCATCATCGACACAAAGCCTGCGCAGGTTTTTGGCTGGATCCACGTCCACGCGTAGCATCCTGTGATCCGATGGCGGCGGCTCGAAATCTGCATGACCAAGGCAGTTGCAGGGTTGCCGTTGGCTTTTTTTGCTTGGCCAGTGGCTTTGCGGTCCCAGATATGTGTACGCGAACCACATGAGGCAACTTCTCGTGGACCGAACAGGATCTGAGAGCGGTCGCTGGGATCTCAGGCTGTACACACGTGATGTGCTGTGTCTGCGTGCGAACTAAGGAGGAACGGCTTCCGGAGCGCTGCCAGACAACCATGCTGGCGGGAATGAGTGCATGCGTGCAGCTGCTGCCACAATTCTTGGAGAATGGTGGCGCTTGCCTGCAAGGGCCACGCTATCGACGACAAGCATCATGGCATCACTGCTGGGTACTCAAGTTGCTTACTCGTGATAAAGTGGAGGCTGTGGAGGCACCGTCCCGAGTTTCACTCTTCAGGTACTTGCCAACACGCTCGTCAAGGAGGTTATATAGTTAGGTTATATAGTATAGTATACTGTACCATATCACGAAAGCTTAGCGATCGTTGTAGTTTACCATTCTTGGCTTGGGTGGCAGCCACGAATTTTGGCGTTAAGGTCTGATATATAAATCTTTTAAGGGGTGGGGGGGGGGGGGGGGGGGGGGGGGGGGTTGGGTAGCATCCTTATCGCTGCCATACATGCGGAAACAGTGCGTGAGCCGCTGTTGCCTGTACCTAGCTTTCGCTTGCCGTCCTCGCAAGTTATACTATACCATACGATACTATAGTATACTCTAACATACTAAAGTATACTATAGTATAAAGAAAAGTGCCATGACTAGATCTCATTCTTGCAATTATTCTTCTTGACGATGCTGTCTCAGGGAAGCTTTGTCGTGTATTTATTCCCGGTGAGGCCCTCGTGTGTGCTTGACTCCCGCTTGCCAGATGTTTGACACGGCCGCTGGTTGGACTCTGGCCCTCGGCTATTCTCCACTCGGCCCCCCCCCCTTGTTCCCGACAGTTGCGTGCGACTCGCCCCTCATCCCCATCAACACCAACGCAAGCTGCTGGTCAGGGTACACACGACGGTTCTGTATGTAAAGGTCCACCAGACACCAGACGGGATTCGAACACGGCTGAAACTGTTTTAGCCGTGCCTTGTAGGCAATACAACACGACAAAGAAGTTCCAAAAATGTGAACAGAATCTTCGTTCATGAAATGTAAGCTCGAGGCCCCATGGGAGTGGCAAACCTGAAAGTTGTCTGGAACCCTAAATGACTCTAAATAGCGGTGGCTCCCGACTTCGGAACCCTGAGGAGCAGCCCGACCGCGCTGCTGAGCTGATTTACAGCGAGGCATGACGCAACTTAACATGACCGATGCATCAGTGGGGGTAATGGTCTGCTTGATCATGCAGGCACTGCGGGAAGAGCTGAAAGATAATCTGGAGGCCATTTGTCGCAGCTATTGACTTCCGAGGTTTTCCTGAGCAGCCCTGAATCCCGGGAAGGTTGAAGTGGAGAAGGAGCAGCCGACCGCGGAGCCTAAGGAGGCTCCCAAAGTCTTTCCATTTGAAGGGCTGGCTTGATTTTGAGCAGTGGAAGATGTCTCCAAGAACATAAACAAAGTCCATTCTTGCCTGGCATGGAGATCACATGAGGGTTCTTCGGGGACTGTACGGATGTTATGCCTCAGTCTCATGAAGTGTACAAGTTGTTGTTCGGGGGGGCCAGTACTTTTTGGTTTTAGGTGGGCCCTCACGCCATCGAAATCTTTCCGGCTTCGCAAAGATCACTCCAGTCCTTCAATCTTCGCACATGTGACCGTGGGAAGACTAAACATGCGCAGAATTGTCGCACCATCAACTGCAACTACAGAAATCCTCCTTGCGCGGGCAATGTTCGCTGCCAGTGCCCCAGCTTCTGCGCGCATTTGCGGCACCCATGATGCTCACGAAAGTTCATATCGCCGTCACACGTTGGCACGGGTCATCAATTTTTCGGTGGTAATACTGTCAGCATTGATGTCGTCCCCAATGACTTCATCGTGTTGTTCGGTCGCGTTGCACCCCTCTGCACATCTCCATCAACCGTATCTAAGATTTATGTTTTGGAGGCTATAAGTTTTGTGGTCATCTCTTCTACTTCTATGCGTTCAATTGACTGAGTCACAGAACAGCATACTGACGCAAAGAATGTAAATTTGAGAGTTCAGCCGCAGGAAGACAAGGGAATTTGCAAGTCCATTTGCAAAGGATTTTGTGATTCGCAATTCCCTAACCTGAAATGTCCCTCCGCAGCACAAGTTCTAAAGCTAAGGACCCTGAGACAAGGCCCTTGATTTGAATGTGTCATTAGCATCACATGTCACAGAACTTTAAGCATTCCTTTTTCAGGTTGTTCGCAGATTGCTACTTCAGGAGTTGCCCAAGTTATAGGGATCTGACGTAACATTTGCCTAGTTTGCCCCGAAATTAGTTGTTCTCAGATGACATGGTTTGAGAAGACTTGCTGCTGTCGTTCGTGTTTCTAGGCATAGACACTTCTCGCCGCCACAGAAGAAGTTTCCAATTTGCATTTTCGCATCGCGGCAAACAGAGGTTGTTGGCTATTGCAGGGGAGGGATGCCACGCGCACATTGTGGAACATTGAAATTTGTCACGTGCAGCATTTTTCCACGCCAGAATGACTGGTAACGCGCATTCCCGATTTCATCCACTACATCCATGCCCACGATAACACCTTTGCATTCCCGGACACATATTTCCCAGACCATCCATGCACTGAGCCAGAAAGACGTCCATCCCCGAAGGCGCCTGTCCCAAAAACAATGATTGTTCCCGATGCGAGCGAATCCACCTCCCAGAGGGAATCCCGACTGCATTGGCTTTTCCATGCTTCCATGCCCAAACCATGGCGATGTCCATTCCCGACAGCATCAATTTTTCCAGAGCATCCGTCGTCCAGGCTCTAACAACGCGCATTCCCGAATGCATTCGTTTCTTCGTTTCTATCTTTGCAAGCCATGTGACATCCATCCCCGAGCGCATTCAGTCCACAACCATGCCCTCACCACATTGACGTTTTGAGCCTCTGCGCAAGCGGGTAATGCGTCAGAGTTTTTTTTACGAAGATTTCGTGTCACCCCAGGAGCGCGGCAACAAGGTCTACTCTCCCAAGATGACGACAATGCCAGGCTCAGTAGAAAGAGTCACAACAATCCTCGGAGTTCTTGAGGTGTAGGGCTTTGGGGGCTTTGAAAGACGGGAGGTTCCAGGGTTGTCAAAAGGTACCACAGGGGATGTTGGGTTCACAGGTCTGAGGTCTAGGGCTCGGACTTTGATTAGGAGGGGACTTGAGGGTTGAAGCTGGGGTTGCCTACTGTGTGGGGGCGCATGTTTTGTTGACCTTCAACACAAAAGATAGAAATCTCTTGAAACCATAGTTTCTG